TAAACAACCAGGAATAGAGTTGTAACACTGCTACTTAGAGTTACATTAGTTTAGAATTATTTTGGGCTTTAGATTACTTTAGTTTTAGCTTTAGACCTGGACTTTTGCGGCATTGGTACTTTTACTACTGGGTCCGGCTGTAGTCTACATCTCAGTAACCTACATGTGGGCTTAGGGGATTATGGCAAATTTTGGCGGAATTCCACCAGAGTGAATAATAATTTATGCATTCAGGCAGTCTACTAAAAACAAAATTGAATGAAATAATTTTTGCTTTTACAGACACCGCCACCATCGGGTCCTAAGGATTCTCGAAGCAAAAAAGTGTATGCATTTGATTGCGAGATGGTCTACACAGCATGGGGAACAATTCTGGCACGAATTTCGATGGTGGATGTGAAAAATAAGCTTGTGCTGGATCTGATTATTCGCCCGGAACATAAAATCACCGATTGCAACACACGCTTCAGTGGCTTAACACTGGAACATTTTCAAGAAGCTCAGTGCAATTTACAACAGGTCTTCCTTCCATAGTTTTCGGGCTTTTCTTCACACTTTAATACTTTGATTTGTAGTTATTTCATCAATGTGCCGGTAAGTATTTGCTTTTTTTTTCTCTATTTTGAGCTTATTGCCTTCGTGTGACTTCAAGATCCAAATGGATCCTTCCATTACATTAACGGTTTTCCTTTCGTTTAACACTTGCTTGGGTGCCTTTTTATTGTCCTGGCTTGTCCATCTGTTGTCTCTCATTCTTGCCAACTGACCGGCTTAGCTTGTGTTACTGGCATGCTTCATGTTGGGCTATAACGTAATTTGGACAAATGGAAAATGAATGAGTCGAATGTAAGGAGAAAAATTGGCTCTTTCCAGCATGATTTTGCATCTGATTATCGCCAAATATGCCCTGATTATTTTTATTAAATCTTGATTTTTCGTTTTCTCCTGATGTCGCCGTTCCACATTTTTTACTTCTTCGGGCCGCCCACTTAATGTTAACTGGCTGGGCTTTCTAATGGCGGTAATTTATCATTTCACTTAAGTCAGTTTTCCTTCATCGGCCCCTGCTCTTTCCTCCAATCCGCATTG